TGCGCCACTAAGATTTCACACTCCAAGTATTATGGACTGCCGTCTAGATCCAAAAAAGGCACTCCGCTTGCCGCATTCCATTTAAAGAGTTAATCACGTTTGTGGTATGTGGTAGCAACGCCATGGCATGAGGTGTTAAATGCTAGTCCCACACACCCAAACAAACAGGGAAACATATGTACGAAAAACATGTTGCAACAACATTTAGAACACTGATGTTAACAATTGTGTACACAGCATTAAACAACAATATAAACAAGTATATATGTATATTTGTATAAGGGTGTGGTTAGACTTGGCAAAGAAAATAGCTTTTTCAAAAAATTTTGTTCAGCAACCGAAAAGCGGCAACTGATCGTCGGAGATTCTAAAAAATATATGTTATATACAAATGATCAGCAATGATCAGCATGACGTGCCGAGTCGATTTAGCCATATCCATTTGTCCGTCTGTCTGTACATAAGCGAACTAGTCCTTCATTTTCGAGATAACGATCTGATATCGGACCACTATAGCATATAGCTGCCTTACACACTGAACGAATATCAAGTTCTTTGCTGCTAAAGCTACAATCTTCGGCAAATTTTATCATGTTTTAAATTGAGAATACTATTTTCGACCATTCAATTGCTTTATTACGTGAAAATTTCATTCTTCTAAGAAAAAATCGAGAATGCTCAAAAATTCTACGTTGATATTTAAGCTAATGAATGTTGTCGGAAAAAAATTTCATTTTTTAAAAGAAATATTCACCTACTGCTTGTAAACCTCTCATCTACTAGGTAAGAATGGTGTCTTATAGACATTTTCCTCGCGAACATGAACCACAAGTGGGACTAAATACAAAACATAATTTAAAAAAAAAATTTATATTTTAAGAATGGTTAGTCCGGTTGTTTAGAGAATCAACCGTCAATTGTTTGTTCGCTATCTGTGCGTGGCAAAAAAGTACGAAAATATTAAATGATAGTTGCGAATATTCTTTCGAAGTGTGAGTTTTGAAAAAATATTTTTAAAAAATGGATTTTTTCAAAAACAAAAATCAAAGTTTGAAAATTATTTGCACAGAATTTTGCTTTTGAAATAAATATTTGAAAGTCTTCAATTCGTTAGCACGCTTATTGTCTTGTCTGAACACACCCTAATTTATGAAAAGCAAATTAAAAAAAAATTAAGAATGGTTTTGATTGTGAGAGGGTTTAGCTATTTTAGAAAATTGCACCAATGAATTACGCTTGAACAAAAAAAAAAAAACAGAATCGCCACAGCGGGCACATAACTTAAAATCCTCCTAAGGATAAGCGCCGTATAAAGGGTAGATTATCCTAGTTGCATGTAGCTGCATGTCAACATATGTTTGTGTGTAAAAAAATGTGCGCTATGACGGTAAAAAGTTGGCTGCGTTACGTCGGTCTACGCTTGCGCTTAGCAGGAACTTTAATGCATTAAAGTTCCAATTTCAGTTGAAATGAAAAATTCCAAAACACTACAACACATACATACATATGTACATGCCTTTTTTTTTTTTGCTACTGCCAAATGCGCGCCACACACAGGCCATAAACAATTTGACGCGTTCGCCTGATATCTACAGCCAAGGATGCCTGTGGCCGCTACTTATACACGGTTTGGTAGCAAAAAGCATCTTAAAGTCCTAAAAATGCGCACTTGATGTGACAGTGACAGTTTTCACATTTCAAATTACCTGACAATTATAGTTTGTTAATTTTTTATGGCTGGCAAGTGGAGCGCAACGAGATGTTGTGTTGTTGTTCGTATTGACTTGGCGTGTTAACAAATTGAAACACTCTTTAATGTGTTGACTTGAAGTGAACTGCTGCTGGCTGATGGGCATGTGAATAGCGTTTGGTTGTTTGTAGTAAAAATGTTTAGCAATTTATTGAATTGATTGTTATTGCTGATGTGCATTGGTCATAAGTTGGTTAGTTTATTAGTTGTGCGGTTGATTTTGTATGTGCGCATGCGCTAGTCATACATTAAGCTTCACACGTAACCATTCGTGTAACACTTGTTTCTAACATTAGCGACAGATTATGGAATCACTTTTAGCATGTATATGTATGTAACATACATATGTGTAACAAATAAAAGCCTTCCAAGAACGCTATATTTATTCTACGATCTAATTTTTGGCACTGTTCAAACGCAAATTATAATTGCATAAGTTTTGAATAATTTCTAAGCCTTTTTAAATTGAACTAATAAATGCGAAAATAATATATTCATATCATCAAAAGCCGAATTGGAGAATTAACAATAAATGTAAAGCTGGGATTATAATTAAGAACAAAACAAAAAGAAATTGTTTTAGAATTTAAATTTTTGTCATATTTTCGTACTTCATGTTCTACTGCTTTCGTTATATTTTAAGAAGGAATATATTTAATTGCTCATAATTATAGTTTTTCTGTTTTTTTTTACCCCTTTTTATTCCAGTTTTTAATTTAAAATATTTGAATGAAAATTTTTTTTATTTGTTACTTAAATTTTTAAATTAAAAAAATATTTTCTCAATTTTTAATTCCGATTCTAAGCTTTCAATTTTCAATTTTAAATCCTAATCTCATCAAAATCGGAATTAATAATTTAAAATTTACTATTTAATCACAAAATTGTAATTGAAACTTTAAAATCTTATTTTAAACCAAAATTTTTTAATTAACAAAATGAAAACCCTGCTGGCAAGAGCGTTTGTTATTTACAAAATACATAGTGTGTAGATTTCATGCAATGTCCACAGAATACAAGTTTACGACAACCTTAACGTCATTGAACCAACATGAATGTATTTGCAAGACAAAAAACTTTATTTTCTGTTCATGTAATTCACATAGCCTTTTTCGTCAACAAGTCACATTTATAGCATCATTGTACAGTGAATTATCAGCGGTCCGTGATCCCGTGGTTGAAAGGGTTGACTGCATTTCCCTCCCCAATTGCAGCAAGCAACAAAAGCAAAAATACCATTTTTCGCCTTCGTGGATCATTCTGCGGTGGCTTTTCTGTGCGAAAGCTTCTGTCACCGCTACCATCGCTGTGTGAAACCTCGCATATAATAGACTCTCTAATTGCGGTGAAAAGCACACTCGGTGGCGCGTCCTCCAGGCATTTAAACCAATACGCTTCTACTACTAAGCAGAGGTGACAAGAAGAATTAAATATTGATAAAGAGTAATTAAACAAAATACTATGAACAAAATCTTCTCATATGAATTGCAAAAATTAGCAACCAAACAAATTAAAACAACAATGATTTGCCGTGACCACGCCAAGGAAACGGTGCCAATGGGAACCACGAAAAAAATGTGATCGCTTTTTTGGGAAAATTAGTTTAAATACAAAATTTAATTTAAGAGAAAAAATTTGTATTTTAAAAATACATAGTTGGTCCCGTTGTTCACAGGAGCAAGCACATAGCTTTTTTAATTTTTCTGTGTTTGGCAAAACAGTTTGAAAGTATTATATTTAGTGATTTCGGCATAATTTTCTTTGACAATTAGAGTTGCTATGTATGTACATATATACATACATATTTTTTAAAACAAAATTTTATTTCAAATTGAAATATTCTTAAAGTCTCAAAAAATTTTTTAAATGCAAACCAATTTCATAATCATCACATCTTTGATACAAATTCTTATCGATTGCTCACAAAAATATGACCGTTTAATAGCTTTTATAAGTATTATTTTAAGCTATTTCAAATATAAAAGAACACAAACATATTAAAAATACTATGCCAGCCAAGCATTTTGAACCAACTTCGTCATCAAACATATGATTTTAAAATGTCGTAACCTTGTATTCTATGAACGTTGAGTTTCATGCATATTCAATAGTTTGACTTGTGGCTTTATCACCAATTCAACATTTTCCACCTCAGTGCTATTAAACATGTGACATCTCACCTGACTTTTGTATCAACACACATTCGTATGCATGCACAAATATGTATGTCACTTTGCTGCTGCTTCTTGCACACGAACTTGATCTTCCATATTTTATCATTAAATATCAATATTATTGTAAATTCACTAAATAAAACACACACTTGCATACATTTGCACACATTTGTGTACAAAAACAAACCACTTCCTTTACTCACATATTCCTGCGCAGAGCTTTCACTAAGCCACAACCGAACTAACACAAAACCAAACGTACTCGTGTTTTTCAAGCTTTATATTTAAAGAATACACTTAATAATAATATAATTATGCAAAAACTTTACTTGCGATGATACTTATTAGGATTTTTGTTGCTTCTCTACACTTTTTATTAACAACACAATTTTTCACTCGCGAAAAGGAAGCTAACACATAACGGCCTTTTGGCGGCCGCAACTTGACAGCGACGGTATTGCCAGCGATGAAATTTTCTAGATGAATTGTGGGTAAATTTTAAAACGGTAAAAGCAAACGGAAGTTTAAATACGGCATTTTTTGTGTGTATATTTGTATATTTTAGGCGTAGTCTCATAAAGTAACATACATATATTTTTTATAAAGCGAGAAATTAAATACTTTTAAATTGCATGTGGCCATCGAAAACATAAGCTAAATTTAATTTAAAAAATCAGTTTCAGGTACAAAATTAAAGAAATTCCTTAGTTAAAAAAAAAAATAAAATAAATATTACCAATTTATTAAAATAAGTATTTAGAGACACAAAAAACCAATTATGCTAACCCAAAACATAAATTCGAATTTCAATAAAATGCGTTAGCACTAAAATTATAGTGAAAAATCACATGTCTTGATTAAATAACTCAAACTTTCAATTATTTGCAATAATTCAGTTAAAATTTTAGACGTTTATTTGCATTAATTCATTTTTTAAAACAAAAATCTAATAAAACAGAGAAAGGTGTTTATTTATTTACAAAAAGTGTAAATTGCATGCATTTCAGCAGTTTGAAAGGCTTTGTAAGCAATTTAACATTAACTCTCCACATGCAATTAAAAATGTGACAGCTCACCTGATTCCTGCGCCTATGCACTTACTTGCGTAAGCATGTACGAACACGGCTTTTTCTTGCTATTGCTAGCACACGCATTCATTTTTCAATAATACGTTATTAAATATATTTATTATTGCAAATCAGCGAATAATTACACACTCAATTTAAGCATATTTACTTAAAAACAAACACATTTCACTCACTCAAATATGTGCATTTTACTGCACAGGCTTTTCACTAACGCACACTCTAGCCGAGCATTTTAACCGAACACACACTTTTCTTACAATAAATACACTTACTAACATTATAATTATGCAAAAACTTCACATGATGTGATATTTATAGCGTTCTTTTTCACTTTTAAACACTTTTATTAGCCACCAACTGAATTTTTCACTCGCGACAAGGAAACTGACAAATAACGGCATTTTTGGCGGCAACAGCTTGACAGCGACTGGGTTGCCATTGGTGTGTTTGTAGGGATGAACTATGTAGGAAATATTTAAAACTTTAAAAATAATTTTAAAAATAAAAATTTTTATGTAAGTTTACACATACATACATATACACTAATTTACATATGTAAAAGAAAAATCACAGCATATCAGCGCAAAACTTTGATATACAACAAATACTGTCGCTTATAAAATATAAATGAATATTTGTGATAAAAAAATTTTAACGGAGAAATTTCTTATACAGCACATATGTTATACAAAAACTTTTTATATATATGTATGCATGTATGTAGCCTTTTCCATAACCTACCGCTACAAGCACAAAAATAACCATTATATATATTATATAAAACACACGTACTTTATATATTTATTTTGCTATAAATATGTATTTATTACTTCCTTTCAATTATTGCATAAAAATAAAGTGTTATCAAGCTACATACTCATATAATAAGGCGTGATTTATAAAATAATAATTTTTAAATGTAATGTATGCTTTTTATTTATGTAGGCCCATGCAACTCAGTTACAACTTGGCTTTTAGTTATGTTTGTATATATGTAATAAATTGTAGAAAACAAAAACCAATGCTTACAAATTAAAATAAAAGTGCTATCTATAGCAGTTACATAATAGTGTGATGGTCAGAAAACGCCGCCAGCACTACAATATTTGCAATTTATTCGTTGATAAACAAAAAAAGTATGAGAAATTAGCAAATATTCAAGACTTCACACAATACTCGTTTTTTTTTCACCGTTCAACAGCATTTCAATTTGGCGTGTACCCTGTATCTGTTTTGCCGTTCCTAACTCAAGACTGGCGCCTGTATTTCTCTCCCCAATGCCGATAGCTCTTTGAGGAAAAGTTTCGCATTGCTCAGCGTCGATGCACCATAGATGATGCGCTTATTGACATTTGTCGTTTGCTTTTGTTTGATATAGTCCACCAAATTTTGGTATTCAATATAATTGCCACCGCCTACGATAAAGACGACCGCATCTTGGAATGGTGCACGATTCTTTGGCAATACATCACCGCCTTTTAAGAGTTTCGGATCCAAGTAAAGATAATCATCGGTTTCCGAATTGCTGCGGCATTCCATCACCTGTTCGGTAATTTTCGTTACCGGCAGACTCTAAAACGTAGGAAAAAGAAAAGCGTATTTAATTTATAGCGCTCATTTCACATATTTTAAGCACTTACATGTCTTTTGACGACCAAATTCTTGACACCTTCCATCACAAATGATGAGCCTTGCGATACCAATTTCGAGAACATAGAAACGGTACGTGTACCACCGCCCTCGTATTGTGCAACTTGACTCAGTGCCGGTGAGCGATTCATAATACCCTTCCAACGCTGTACATATGCAAGTGGCGAGAGATCACAGCCGGCCTCTTGCAGCGCTTCTTTCATACGTTCAATTTCGAATTCGGGTACATTTTGCGCACATATATAATAGATGATGAACAGCCGTAACTTATCCTCGGGTAAACCGAATTCGGGATCTTTCAACAATTCCAGCAACGGTCGATCGAGCGTTTGTTTCGACATGATTTTTTCCTCCAACTCAAAGAAAGAATCCAAACGACGCGCTTTTATATAGTTTAAAATTGCTGTAGCGATTTTTGTGTGCATATCAATGAGACGCTTCTTTTCCATCAGCTGTGGCAATGAATTGACAGCGTTGGTGAGACGTGCAGTAGTATCATTAACCATGGAGAATGCCACTTCAGTTTCACCATCAATGCCCATAGATGTTTTCAGGCGTTTGATTTCGTCCTCTGAATTGCGATAGGATTCTAATTCCTCTTGTATGGCTTCGGCCACTGTAGGAAATGGACTGCCTTTGTGTGTCACCCAAAATCGATCATTGCGATCTAGATCGCAAGCTTTTGGCTTTTTGCGTGTACCTATAGAAATTCAATAAGTTTGACTAATAAACAAGCTTTATATGATAAAATTATAAAAAAAAAATACCCGTGTTCGTTGCACCGTCATCCTCGACGTATACTAAATTTAATCCCAATTCTAGTACATCATGCACCAGCGCTTGATAAGACCATGTGTGATGTAATGGTGTGGCTAAATCTAAATTTCTGTCCAACAGTAGCAGCACGGGGCGCTGGAAACTAAATACACCACCACCGGCTTGCGTGGCATCCATATGAAAAAGGTTGGAGCGCGAGTCCCATAGGTTCTCACGCAGTTTCTTCTCCAATTTACGTGCTACCATTTCGGCAGCGCTATTGCGCGGACAACGTATAATTGGCACGTTGCCTAACGTGACAAATACGGCAAATAGTGAATCCACTATAGAGTCCATTAATGCCTCCATTTCATCATCGCGCGTATTTGCGCGATTTATGGAATAATATGACAATTGCTCACTCTTCTGATGTTTCAATATGAAAAAGTCATCTTCCAAACTGATAAAGTTCACATATTGATCGTATACACGATGTATGTTAGCTACACAACCGGCTTGCAGTGCTGCTGCTGCCAAATCTTCAATTTTTTGTCGTGTAATGGGCGCCAAAAAATTTAAATGGTAAACATCGTACAACCCGTTTCCGAAATCCTGCTGAATACGATCCAAATTTTCATCGGTCGGCAAGCAGAAGTAGACGGCAGGCACATCTGGTATAGAGTCACGGTCGGAATGTAGTAGTCTAAAAGGGAATTTGTATTATGTTCATTTTTGTTGTAGTGTCTCATAAAATTAATGATAATTGAACTCACACATGTAAAGTCACGCCCAGTTCGCGTAATTCCTTAATGGAAATTATAGGTGATATGATGTCCTGTCCCACCCGATCAAATATTAGTATTTTCCATACGGGCTCCGCAGCTAACATTTTCGGCTGTTGCGCATTCAGATTGAGCATCTGCTTTATAGCATCTTAAATGGATAATTATAAACTCTCATTATATATGTACAAATTATGAGCACATAGTAAATAGAAGCTTTATTTTGCTAGTTCATCCCTCTGTATACATATGTACATATATACAAGTTTTCTCCGATGGGTTAAATTTTATATGTCACCAGCCACTTACTTATTTGTCTGTCACGTAAAGTTAACATGTTTTATGGAGTATTACAAAGCCTTTACAATATAAATTATATACTAATTTATCTAAAAACAATTACAACTCATCAACCAATAACTTTTTACTTTAAATCAACTTTTCACATATTTGATACAGCTGTGAGCTGTCAAAACGACCATACCACGTATTCATTCTAACAAAACGCATGGTTGCATAAGAGCCGAATTGAAAAAAAGTAAAAAATTAAAATATATTAATAAGCAGCAGTTAAATTATTAGTAAATAAAAGCATAATATCCATAAATTGCTGTGTCTAAATTTCAAGTCGATTAGACAAAATATTTTGCATTTATGGGTATTTTATATCTGTTTTATGAACATTTTACATTAGATATCAAAACTTTAAAGCGTTTTGCATACAATTTCACGGTTTCCTTTGAAGTTCTGAAAATTTTTTCTGTACGTAATTTAGTAGGTAACACCGAAGGGTTATTTTCAAATCTGTTTAAGAAACGCAAAAAGTAATGTAGGACACCGCAAACCTACTTCTGTGCGAGACGCTCCATAGAAGCTGCTGTCATTGTTGTATGTTCGAGTGTTTCTCCATCAAAATTTAACATATCATTCTTCAAATGTCATACTATAACGTACCATTGGTGTTATTATATATTTAAACTGTTTCATAAAAATTATCATAAAACTTGGCTTCGTTTTACACGATATAACCCTACATAACGAAATTAAATTTATCTTGTTGGAGCTTATATGCCAAAAACTTGTTTGCTTTCGAAACACTTCCTAATTGCTACAAAACCTGTTCAATTGGCAGCTTTGCTCTACACTAGTGGCTGTCAAACTTTATAACATGCAATTTTGGAGAATTTTTAAAGGCAATTTTACGTGCATTGAAATTTCCTGCCAGTCTTTTGGAACATGGCGGATTATTAAGACGTGAAGCGAATTTAGTAAGCGTTGCTACTTTCATTTAAGATAAAGAAATAAATGTGGAATAGCTGATACGCGAATTTCCTTAACATGTACACCTAGTTAATTGTAACATTTGCTAAATATAACAAATTAATTCAAAGACTTTCCGTAATAATTATAAATATCGAAATTATCGTAAAAGGCCAATTATGGTTGTCTCGTGTTAAATGACGCTTCGTACACGAAAGCAATGCTTCTTTGTACTGTGTAGAATTAAACGCCGTTAGTTCGGGGAAAATGTGTGTTGATTACTTTGCTGAATCCCAAGTGCGCTTTCTATAATAAAACCATTGTAAATTACAGATAAACAAAAATAATTCTTAAGGCAGTGCATAACTGGTTGCATTATCGAAAGAAGTAATAGTACAAATAAATTTGTGTTGCGGTTATTATATGCACATAAATTTGTGTTGCGGTTATTATATGCATATGTATATAGTAACTATATAACTGTATAAAAAATGTGTTTGTATATAAGCAGTATATGCAGCAGCACCCCACTAACCAGCGTACTATGTCTACGAAATGGAGTCAAATTCAACTTTATGTTGATAATATTTTTGAACCTTTTGCTGAATTCACGCAGTCAATTGCTCATCAACGTACAAAATCAAGTGGGTTGTGTAAAATATCAATACAAATATTATCAATTAATTTGCCAAATATTTTTATTTATATTATTTATCTATTTATTTATATTGTTGTATGTACGTATGAGATATGGCTTAAAGCATTTTTTTTTGTTTTTTTAATTTACCGATAATCATTTACATTAGCTCCTACTTCGGCTTCATTTCTATTTACTGCAAAATAATTACCTGATTGTTTTCTATATATGTTGCAATATATTTCTCGAAAGCTATATATATATATATATATAATTTTTGTAGCGCTAACAATAGTAGAATATAAAAAAATAATAAAAATAAGCCACTAGTATCCCTCAGCTGACGCGACAATAGCGCAAAATTTCCAGCTCTCCAATGCATGTAAAAGTCTCCATAAATTTGCCGAACTGTGTATATTGACGAAGGAGAGGCATAAAGCAATTTGGACAAAGAAATTTAGACCAATTTTTTTTAATAATAATTAAATATAAATATATATACATGTATTTGAATATGTTTTCATTTCTTTCTCCTATACGTTTGCTAAAAACAGACAGCAAATAATAAATGTAAAACGCCGGCTTGCCAATTTGCTCCCTTTTGACACCTATGCTATTGTCCATACAAACTCGTGCTCCTTATAAAAGAATAAGGGTAGTGTGTTGGGAATACAAATGAATACATATGCACGTTGCCCTTGAACTTGTGCAATTCTTAAACGTTTTCTATGCCTGTTTTCCAAGTAATTTCTAGTTAATTATAACATAAATGAAATATAAGTGTTTGTTTAATCAAAAATATATATATTTTTTGCGTATCTATCGTAAATGTATTAATATTTTTTTTCAAAGTTTTTATAACGTCTAAATTAAATACTCGTGTTGTAATTTCACCGTATTTTTCTACGTTCGAATTGTGAACTTTTAACTTATTGACAAACGCATACAGCGTGGCATCTAACGGCTTAGATTGGCTGTTACCGTAAGCTTCTGTTTTTGATTAAAATAAGGACCAATTAATTTTAAATACGAGTTCGTTTGATACTACAGATTCAATCATTCAATGCAGGAACAAATTGAATTAAAGCATATCCCCATTCAAAGAAACATTTGTATACTCTTCCAATTTAAAGCAGTTCATTACTTTTGCTTATCGCATGCAAAAACTGCATTCAAGGTTAGCTTTTCTATATGTTTTGCCTCCGCCATTTTATAAGCTTAAGATTTAGCTGATTTGCTGCATCCGGCACATATACAAATATTTGTGTTTTATAAGTCTTGCAAAAAGGGCCAGGTACATAAGGAAACGAGCAGCCATGAACTTTGTGCTTTTTCGCTTTTCAGCAGTTCATTTATTGCATTTGCTTATCTGGTAACGCCTAGTATACAACGCCTGCTGCCAAAAGCCATTAGTTTGGACCAAGCCAAGTGCTCGTGGCTTTCTTAATGAGCCTCCTACACATACACAAAAGTTTTTCCTTCAGCTTGTTGTTGTGTCTTTTGTTTTGTTGCTACTAGCTGTTTACACTAGGGTCAACTTAAATTAAGCTATCATATTTAAAATAATGTGGGCATGTGTATCCACACTTATAGTGAAATAAATAAGTACAGAGTGGTTTCTACATGAAAATGTGACAAATATATAAATAGATTTGTATGTGTATAACATAAAAAACTCTTAGTGGGCACTAAGTTAAATTTGTATTTTACATATATAGGATAATTTATAGCAGACTTGATAGGTAATTACAATCAGCGTTGCAAATTTTTTAATTAAAAAATTTCGTTTTTAAAATTAGATTTTTATATTAGATACGAACATTATAACACTTGCTGCATAATTTTGTGAGATTGAGCTTCCAAACTATACAAATAATCAAGATAATAATACTAGTTATCAGTGCCACTAGTTTCTATTTTTTTTTTTTTTTTTTTTTTTTTTGTTTTTTGTTTTTATAAATAATAAAATTTTTATGACACCAAAAATGCTATATCTCATAAAACAATTTTTTTTAAAAGTGGGGTCTTACGAAAATATACCTTTTCACAATAGGCCCCTATTCTTACCAAATATCATGTAGTTTTTTATTACTTACATATTTACATCTTACGTCTTTCACTTTTTGGTGTCATGAATTAAGGTACCGTTTACATTCTTTTGTTTCGCTTTCATTTTATGTAATTTTTTCCCTAAGATTTAGTTCATGGATAAGTGGTTTGTTTTGTTTACCTTTTGTTGCCGCTGTTGTTGCTATTGTATGTAATTCAACTGTTCTGCTCGCAGATTTTTTGTGCATACATATGTATTTACATAAATTTGTGTTTGACCTTTAGCTGCGAGCTTGCTGAAAATATGTATATACATATGTATGCATGCATGTATTTAGAAAAAACTCGTAGTGCTGCTGTAATTTGTTTCCTGTGGCTAACTTGCGTTTAACTTTTGTGCGAAAAATTAAATTAAATTTGCGGTCTACTCGTTAGTGGCTAAAATCGATTTTTTTACTTTTCGTTGAAAGAAAGTTGTTGTTTATTTAAGAATTGTTGCTTTCTAAACAGTCTCATTGCATGTCTAAATGGTTTTTATAATAAATATAAATTTGTTCAGCACAATATTCGAAGTGTTTTATTTGGATACAGTTTTGAAATTTTTTAGTTTTGAAGCTATTTTTCTAACCATAATTGTTCTAATTATTGACATTCTGATGATTAATAAATAAAAATCTAGTTTTATTGTTTAACTCTTGAAAATGATTTTTTGACTTTATCTGTACAAATATATATTATTTTATATTTGAATATTAGTTCGGAGATTGTCACATCTAGGTATTATGCTAATAACCGAAAATTAACAAAAATATTAAATTTATATATTTTATAATATGCAATTTTTTAATCAAATTTGTAATTTATTTTATTTTTGCTTTTTTCTGTTCTCTTTTCATGAAAAGGGTGGTGAGGTCATACAAGAGAGCATCACCTCCAATGTCAGCGAAGACATAATTACTTTAGAGTTTCAAAAAACAGACGGCACGCTTATCACACAAGTCATTGATTTTCGAAATGTAAGTACTATATATTATATCAATAATCTCAACGCTATCTAAATATACAGTATGGCACTAAACTGTTCACGAATATATGCAAAAAGTAATAAAATAATATTTTATGGATATAACTTCAATTTGTTAAATTTTGTCTATAGTGAATGTTAATGCCACTAATTAATTTTCTTCTGTTAATTTTTTTTTTTTAATTAACGGGAGTTTACGTATATAGAAGCGAAACTGTGTGAAAATTTGTGTGAACAGTATTGTCCGCTATAATTTTTTTGTCACTTTAATGTGTTGCTCAATTCAAATATACGTATTTCACAGGAAAATATAAAAAATTATACATATTTACTTGTATGTATATTTATTTAAAATTTTTAGTTATGTTGTAGTAGGAAAAATCATAAATTCTTCTTAAGAAATTCTTCGTAAGCAGATGATGACTTAAAAAGTAAAAAAAAATTGTTTTTGCTATAGAAAAATTGCAGGAAAATACAAAACATCCCTCGAACTCGGATTCATAAAGTTAAATCAAGTCAATGTAATTTTTAGTCTCCAAAAGACTGGCGATAGTACCAAAAAGTTATCTTCGAAAATAGCAAGAATTGCCAGGCGCTTAATCGTTTCAGGTGCTACTATCACCGCGGCGAAGACTAATAAAGTTATTCAGGCGGTTCATGAATTTGATGTATGTCACAAGACGATTCGAAGATGCAAAAAAACGACGGTCTGAAGGTCAGAGCGTTTATAAAAATAACTGCCAAAGTACAGAACCGTAACAAAATCTTCAAGTCGCTTGCCGGCAGCTCATGGGGAAAAGACAAAGAAACGTTGCTGAAAACATACATGGATGTAGTGCAACGCTGGCGAAGAAGCTTCAGACTTGTCAGAACACTGCACTCCGGACCATAACGGGATGCCTCTTGGTGTCTCTAGTCGAACACCTGCACAGTGAGGTCCTGATGCTATGCTGGATGTTCAGTCGTTTGTTGGAAGCGGAACTGCCTCCCAGGAACATCAAGAGATTCTTTCTTGACTACGCCGACGACATTGAACAGTACACCGACTAGACTTCGGACGCAACTAACTTCAGACATGCATTGACCGCCATTCACGGTGCAGCCATTAACCCCTTCACCGACTCGCTCTCAGTGAATGGCGTACTTGGAGTCAAACCACCACCCATCGCAGACGAAGAGCTCTAGTTGCCACGAGAATCAATCAGTCTCCGCATGACACTAACCCCTTCTTTGCATGCGCAACGAACCCCACTCATCTAACACCTTTCTCCCTATGGACCGACGCCGTCGAAACAACTCGTTTCCTCGGCTTTCCGTTAGATGACTTCGACGACAACCAAACTGAACTTTACCACCCAAACGGGGATTATAGAACCGTTAAAACAAAAACAACAACAAACCTTTTAAGCGAAAAATATCGTAAGGCCCTTTTAAAATACCGCTAAAATTAATGCAGGCAAAAATTTACACACTTAGAGTTTCTTAGCTTCTATTGTTTTGAAATGAATAACTTTAAGTTTATGAATTTATTTTTTTAGATTTACTAGCGTATTGATATTCCTATTAGTGTATGTACATTATTACAATTTTTTTTTGGTTTAGCCTGAGGGTTTACCCTGTGGATTATCAAAAAGGAAATTTTTGGACAAAAAATTTTATTTTTTAACATCTCACTCCGTTTTAAAGTAAATTTTGAGTTAAAATTTTTTTGGACGAGAAAAAATTATTTAAGGTTAAACTCTTTACATTTATATAAAAATTACCAAATATGACGGTTTTTAATTCAAAGTTTATTTTAACGCTCAAGGAGAGCATGTTGTCGTTTAACATTTTTTTTTAAAACTTTGTTATGACTACAAAATAATTTTTTTTTAAGTTGATAATTTTTAATTGGCCAAAAAGAGGACTCCCCACAGCTTCTAGAGCGCTTATCAAAATACGATTTACGAAATAAAAATTTTAAGTCGAAAATTTGCATTAAAAGTGAGGTGGGACTGGGCCGCCTCTAGATGTTAAAAAATAATTTTTTTTTGTCCAAAATTTTCTTTTTTCATAATCTACAAAATTTACCCGCAGGCTAAGCAAAAAAATTTTTTTTCGCTCCACCCTAATGTACAATAGGGTAGGTAAAGCACGAATCTATTTTTTTCGTTTGGTGCACTGAAAAATAGTTTCTGAGACACCACTAAGAAATTCTCTCTAAGTATGAATATATTCAAACTTCAACCGTTAATACCTTTTAAACGTTTAGGCATACGAAAAAATCTTAAGCGAACTTTCAATTTCCTTCAAAATCTATAATCTTTCAATCAAGATATTTTTTTAAGTTTTTGGAAACCAGATTTGAATTTTTCTATCTGATATTAAAAAAAAAATATAGAAAACTGTAAAGGACTTTCTTAGATGTGTCTAAGAATCTATTTTTCAGAGTACCAAGTGGAAAAAAATATACCGTTTTTGACTCACCCATTGAATTTTTCGAATTTTTGTGAACGATTTAGCTCTGTATATGTATGCTTAAAACAAAAATTACAAGAAAAATATGTTTCGTAATAAATTACTATTTGTCGGTATTTTCTCTTTAAAAAGGAGGTGAAAATCGTGAAAGCACTCGTGCTGGGCGAGGAAGAACGTGGCCAAAGTCAATATCAAGTCATGTGCTTTGTGACGAAATTTAATAAAGGTGATTTCATTTCGTCTGATGCTATGGCTAAGTTACGTCAAAAAAATCCCAGCACGATACGTACCCCCGAAGAGGATAAGGGACGAGAAACATTTACGATGACATCGTGGGTGCATCTTAATCGTTCGTTACCAATAACACGCCACCTGCAAACGCTATGCGCGGAGGCGGCAGATGCGACATATGTGCGTAGTGTCGATTTGAAGGCGTGGTCTGAATTGCCAGGTGTGTAAGCTTTTTGTTTTTTTTTTAATATAAATTTATCTTAAGTATTTGTTATTATTATTATTTAAATGTATATGCATATATTTCTTTAATTTTATTTAGTTTGAGCTGACTTTTTAATAGCATAACTCTGAAATACCAACAATATATATGTACTTATATGTACATACATTATACATATATTTTTTAATAATATTTTCTTTTTCGTATATTTTATGCTCTTTCCGCAGGCTCCTCCATATCCAGTCTCGAAGCGGCAACTGAGAAATTTCCCGATACACTTTTCTCACGCTGCAATGAGGTTAGCGGTCTGTGGGCACCCTGTCTTTGTACGCTCGAAACCTGCATTGGCTGGTATCCATGCGGTTTGAAATATTGCAAAGCAAAGAATGGCGGCGGCGACTCGTCGGCTGCACAATCCAACTATCGTTGCGGCATTAAGACGTGCCGCAAGTGCAGTCAATTTACCTATTACGTGCGACAGAAGCAACAATGTCTATGGGATGAATGACGAGGGCTGCATATGGGCTTTGGCAGTTACTGTAATCATAAAACTTGTACAGTGAATCAGTGGCCAACGACACCAACGCAAACAGCGGCAGTAACAACCTCAACAACAACAACAACAACCACAGCCAAAACAACAGCAGCAACAACGGCAGTAGTAGCAGCCGCAGCAGCTGCCGCGGCGGCTGCGACGATGAGCAATCGTTTTCCGTCGCTGTCCGTGTCGCCACAACGACACTGGTATGCTAATAAGAATATATATTGTGGCAGCAATAAACACTGCGTTTCGTACAACAACAATCGCGACTTTGCCACCGCGGTGGCAGTCAATCAAGAACAAATGTTTCTGCTGCAATTGCCATTGCTCTTCGTAGTATCGTCTTCATCGGATGCCGCAGGAGCAGCGACGCCAGTAAACTATTGAAGCTGTTTTCGAAAACAAGTAAACATTTTCTTTTCCTTACATTTAAATATATTTGATTAAGTTGCGTAGCATAGTGTAAATACGTACATATATACATACCTATACATAAGTAGTTATCTATATAAGCAATTTTTAGTACATATATACGATAAGCATCAATTGATTACTTATTATATTATATTATGCGACAAATGTATCCTTTAAAATTCATATTTTCTCAAAATTTACGCGTATTCCTTGAAACGTCTTCTTGTTTAAATCTACAACTGCATTTCTTTGAAAAAAAAAAAAAAAAACCTATTCAAGACTGTTAATGTGTTAGTGTTAGTGTTATAGTATATGATATTAAGTGGTATTTCATTTGCGTCGGGTATGCTGAATATCGCAACGTTCGAGTATTTTCTTCGCACACAAGTTGAAAATTATTTTGCGCATTTCTTTCATCGTCATTTATAATAACTTTCCTTTATTTTATTTAACATTAGAACTTTCGTTTTTTATTTCTTTTTCAAATTAAAAAAAATATTCAAACAAACTGGCAGCACTTGCGTTGCAAAATTGCGCCAACATGTCGTCTCACGCATGCGCAATTGTAATGCAGAAAATTCTCAATCTCCTTGCTCTCTAGCAAAATGATATACATATTGAAAGTTAAAAGAACATTTCATTTAGCGAAAAAAAAATGTTTTTTTTTTCTGTTTAGCCTAAGGGTAAAATTTGTAGATTATAAAAAAAATAAAGTTTTTTTTAACATCTTGGGGCGGCTCACTTTTAAAGTCAATTTCGAGTTAAAATTTTTTTTGTACAAAATTTTTTGTATAAAAAACTTTATTTTCACAACTCTTCACATTTATATAAAAATTAAGGAAAGCTTGTTGTCGTTTAAGACTTTTTTTAAAACTTCAATAATGACCACAAAAAATTTTGTTAAGTTGATAACTTTTAATTGGCCAGAAAAAGCACTCTCCACAGCTTCTAGAACACTTATTAAATTTTTTTTTCACAAAAATCAGGCTAAGCAAAAAAAATTGTTTTTTCGTTCCACCCTAATTTAAATATGTATTTGTTGGTCGTTAAATGTGTGAACGCGTCGCGGCGATGTTCGTTTACTGTCTGACTGCTGACTGCAGGACGGTCATCGATTCACGCTGTATATGCACAACAGGGTCATTCATTTACAATATAATGTCGCTATATATTTAGCTCCTTTATGACATGAGCGTTTGTTTGCTATGATGGTACATTCTTGGTTATATTTATGCCATGGTTTGCACTTGAAATTTTGAAAAATTTCTTTATGTATTAAAAGTGGAAAAATGTCGCAACCACAAGTCTGACGTAAACGATACATAATTATCCGATATATGTACACTGGACGCAATTGTGATAAGGAATACTGAACAAATGGTTTTATTTTGATATAAAATAATCAATGTTAAATATTTTTTAACGTTTCGTTCATTACCGGATGTAAAAAAAAATATTATTGACGGCCCGCCTCTTGGCATCCGCTGTTCGAGATATGGTATACATTCAGTGACATCAGTACCAATAGGCTCGTCGCTGTCAGCATTTTCATATGTAGTTGCAGATCTTTGCTTCTTCTTCAAATTAACTTTGTGTTGTTTTTTATTAAGTTCATCTGTAACTATCGTACTAGTGTGCTTTTGACCCATGCGCGCCTATGTGTCGTGTACATATCTGACAATTACTCCATTCAGTACTGTTGTTGAGAGATCACAAACTAACAGCTTTCTTGCTCGTAAACCTCCACCGACATTGAACAATGCTCCAATTAAGTTTGAGAAAAAATATAGTGCTGGATTTGTTGTGGCAGAGTAAGCAGACTTCTTCACTATGAATATGTCCACTTGGTTATATATATATACGAGTAGTTTTTGTCGAACTCGCATCCTTTGAGAACATTGTGGCAGCTTCGTCTTCCATGGTATCAGTAAAAATCCACTTTAATAGAGATCCTGGATTGGTGAATCCAAACGCACAATCTCTAAAACGGAAGGATACAGTGCCCAAACATTTTACCTGAGCAAACTGTTGAGTCCATGACTCAAGATGTTTGTAGCAATCACCAGATTGACATATTGAAGACGATTAAAAATGTGAAAGCGAAAATTGAAGTGTAAAATGAAATATTTACTTCGAAATTGTTTTGCCTCTACTTCAAATTGTTTCAAGCCATAGTTTTCTTTCTTCAGGTTCTCCATTTCCGCTTTTACTTGTAACGGAAAGTAGATAATAATTAAATAATTTCTTGATTTTAGAAAAATTTCCTTTCAATAAAATGTATTTTCAACTGTTCATGAGCAAAAATGAACCAGAGCTTCCATAGTAGATTACTGCAAAAATGGCGGATATATCTGACTTTTTTTTAAGGGTTGAAGCAAGGTCGTCATGTATATGTGTTTGCTCGCCACTGTATATAATAATACTTTAAACACTAAATAACTAATACACTGAAATTTCTTTGAAGAAAGCACTTTGCTGGTCAAGAAATCTAGTGTAACTGAAACTACAAACTCAGTGTACTGATATTTATTATACTCTTGCTTTAAAATCAATCGCGGAGCAATTTTGGCTTCTGCGGACCACTGGTGGTTCTACTTAATCTAAACATAATAATATAATAATGGCTTACCAAAATTATATATAAAAATGCTTATATAATTCGGTTCGTCCGGGTGTGAAAAGTTGGATCCTAGGAGCTGCTCTCTTTCACTGTAATTCTTGTAAGTCCTTGCTATGATTCTTTCCTGTTCGGTGTATAGTGACTGATGGTAACTATTGCACATATGTATATGTTTCGTTCGTTATTGTATATATACGGTTTTGCTCGTCACTGTATATAATAATACTTAAACACTATATAACTAATACACTGAAATTTCTTTGAAGAAAGCACTTTGCTGGTCAAGAAATCTAGTGTAACTGAAACTACAAACTCAGTGTACTGATATTTATTATACTCTTGCTTTAAAATCAATCGCGGAGCACATTTTGGCTTCTGCGGACCACTGGTGGTTCTACTTAATCTATACATAATGAATAAATAATAAATGGCTTACCAAAATATTATATATAAAATGCTTATATAATTCGGTTCGTCCGGGTGTGAAAAGTTGGATCCTAGGAGCTGCTCTCTTTCACTGTAATTTCTTGTAAGTCCTTGCAATGACTCCTTTCCTGTTTAGTATATAGATACGAGGTTGAATATAGGTGCACATATGTATATGTGTTCGTTCTTACTGTAATATAATCGGTTTTGCTCGTCATGTATAATAATACTTTAAACACTAAATAACTAACAACTGATTTTTTGAAGAAAGCACTTTGCTGGTCAAGAAATCAGTGTAACTGAAACTACAAACTCAGTGTACTGATATTTATTATACTCTTGCTTTAAAATCATCGCGGAGCAAATTTTGGCTTCTGCGGACACTGGTGGTTCTACTTAATCTATACATAATTAATAAATAATATGGCTTACCAAAATATATAAAATGCTTATATAATTCGGTTCGTCCGGGTGTAAAAGTTGGATCCTAGGAGCTGCTCTCTTCACTGTAATTCCTTGTAAGTCCTTGCTATGACTCCTTTCCTGTTTAGTATATAGATACGATGGTTGAATATACTGGTGCACATATGTATATGTGTTCGTTCGTCACTGTATATAATAATACTTAATACAATTGGTTGATTGGATGTTTGCAAATTGTTCATTAAATGTTGCAAGTGTTTTGTAAATTGCAACTGCTGGAATATCATCTCCTTCCTCCGCCGCTACAACAACAAACATCAATTTATCAGTCAAATCAAAATAAAGGAATGACGTCAGCAAACAACTTGTTTGATTGCGATTGGAAGTGCCGGTCGACAAACAAATGTATTGGGCTTTCTGTAAATCAGTAAATAAAATATATTTGCAAATATTTATCTCAAATTTACAAAGTCATCCACTGTATCACTCGGATCAATGTCCTCAAAGTCCAGTGATAATTTGATATTTAAAAATTCTGGCTGTTGACACAGGAATCCCAGGAATTCAGTCTTGATGTCCTCAAGCAACTCAGGACGCAGGTCGGGATCCTCAAGCACAGGTTGCCAACGGGGAATGCGTTCTATCCAGCCCATCTCTAACAAAAACCCTTCTATCCTGTTATAACGGTGCTACGCGAGCCAATCATATTTAACGCTGTTGTTTGCAGGACTTAAAGTAGAGCTGAGCTGAGCTGAGCTTTTATAGTAAAAAATATAATAAGCACTTCTTGATAAAAATGTTGTGGTTACGACTAAAATTGTCACTTATTTTCAAATATCTTTCTTCTAATGTGGTTAATTAGTAAATGGATTATATTCATACTTTTTATCATGATAATTATACAATAAGCAGCGGTGTTATCAGGGACGGATATTAATTTTAGTTCAATCTGAATATCGATGAGGCCGCCTTTATAGATTCATTTTGATGTGTTACATCTAAAACAATTATTGGAGCAGTTTCAACAAATCGATTAGGTGATAAAAATGGTTGTGGAGTGCGCCATAATAACTTTGTTGAAATTTTAAATACATGTCATATAATAGCGCATACCGATTTCGTAAAAATTAATATAAAGAATATTGGAATTTCTGTAAGTAATCTAAAACAAAAAATGTTTGCTCGTAAATTTCAACCAAAAAACCTACAAAGGTTCATAATGTATTAGAATATAAAATAAAGATATTCTATTTTAAATTTTTTTAACATAACATCATCTTACCAATTGTTTCCTCACCATAAAAATTGATATAAATATTAATTTTTTATTGTGCTATTTTCTATTAATTGACGTCTTCGTTTCTTTGTTTGCTGTTATGAAAAGAGTTTAATTTAATATACATTAATGTGAACTAAAGTTAAACTAAATGCGTCACTTTTTGGACGCTATTCAAATGACTGATTCGATGGCGTCAATTTTGACAGATTCATTGTCTATGTGTGCATCTCTTTTTATACATTGAACTATCAAGTTTCATAGATGTTGCTCCGCTTATAACCTAATTTTTCGTTTAACAACAAAAAGTTAGTTACGGATATGTAGTGATGTAAGAGGTGAAATTTTACAATTGTAGTAGTGAATTGGTTACCTCCGTTTTTTACTAGGGTGATACATTTTAAATTGTTTGTTAATACACTTATATTTTAATTATATACACTCAACCAATAGTTTTAGTTTAATTTTGGATTTTTCGTTTTAGTTTGCTCTCGGCGGCTGCTATATTTAGACGGATTAAACTGAATTTTTCGTCTTCTGTTCAGCTGTCTCCGTGTTAGTATCCGTTTCGTCGTCTCGTTAAGTTCGAGTCCGCTCCTATGCACCATTCCTTCATACATATATAGAGGGTAGATAGTTGATGACTATTTCCTACTCTCAATGGACTTGTCGAACGCTATCAGCGTTATCAAACTGTCTTCCACTACTGCAAGACATTCAATCTGCTGCCGAAAATATCCTCCAACTCCTCATAGAACAAATTTTGTGTAAAGTCTTTTAAAAGAAAATTAATGATTACAACTAAAAAATGAGATTTCACGCTTACGCTTATTTAACACATGTGTCTTCACTTCAGTTGTACCTAGTAAGGATTGAGCGGGCTCTTCTAGTTTTGAAGCGACTTATTAAACCCCTTCCATCAAAACTTGTAACATTTTATCGAATTCTGTGGATCAAACACAAATTGAACATTTGTTGATCACTATCAAAGCTTAAATAATTTCAATATCCATTGCTCCACCTTAATGTGATTTCCGTAAATATGTTATTACAATTATAAAATAAAATTCATATTTATACCTTCTTGAACCATTTTAGTTTTACCATATATGTAGATTTTATTTGGATATCCAATAGTGAATACACACGTTTACTCGCTTTCGTGGTTACAATGCTTCTTAAAAAACTATAAGTACGACCGTTACTATCCTATGATGGACGCTTCGTTCAGTCCGTAGTGCCAATAGTCTTTGTCGCGCTACGTATTGTTCCTACATATAGTATATATCTATTATATAATATATATTCGGGAATATATATTATAAAATGATGGTTGTAATCAGCGTGAGAACACATTTTATTGCATTCCAAAATGAAAAACTTAAAAAAAAACGGAAATAAAACTGTCGGCGCCCTCGATTGTTGTAACAGCGTGAGAACACATTTTATCAAAATACAAAATGGTCATTGTGTGGCAAATGCAGGCAATGTTCGCCTCGCTTAGTTGCTAATACAAAACCGGAAGTTGCTAGGTATTTGAATTTTTGGGTTTTCGATTGCCACTCCTTTGTTCAACATATATAAGACGTTGACATCTCTACGTAAAGTGCACATGTACGGCGACCGCAATCAAATAGTTTAATCCTTCTAAGTCACCCTGATTAGGCGCTAAAGTGTAAGACGTAAAATTGAAAGTTTTTGGTCAATTGCCACGCTCCTGTTTGTGGTAGGCGGGTGTACGATTGTGATTATGAATGCCCGGGGTGTCCTCTAGATGATCCATTATGTTTTATAGGCCCACATACTTTATTAGCCGATAAAACAAAACCGGAAGTTGCTAGGTATTTTGAATTTTTTGGGTTTTCGATTGCCACTCCTTGTTCAACATATATAAGACGTTGACATCTCTACGTAAAGTGCACATGTACGGCGACCGCAATCAAATAGTTTAATCCTTCTAAGTCACCCTGATTAGGCGCTAAAGTGTAAGACGTAAAATTAAAGTTTTTGGTCAATTGCCACGCTCTGTTTGTGGTAGGCTGTACGATTGATTTATGAATGCCCGGGGTGTCCTCTAGATGATCCATTATGTTTTATAGGCCCACATACTTTATTAGCCGATAAAACAAAACCGGAAGTTGCTAGGTATTTTGAATTTTTTGGGTTTTCGATTGCCACTCCTTTGTTCAACATATATAAGACGTTGACATCTCTACGTAAAGTGCACATGTACGGCGACCGCAATCAAATAGTTTAATCCTTCTAAGTCACCCTGATTAGGCGCTAAAGTGTAAGACGTAAAATTGAAAGTTTTTGGTCAATTGCCACGCTCCTGTTTGTGGTAGGCGGGTGTACGATTGTGATTATGAATGCCCGGGGTGTCCTCTAGATGATCCATTATGTTTTATAGGCCCACATACTTTATTAGCCGATAAAAC